ACTTATCTCGTTGAGAAATTATAAATAAAGACGATTGCAAATTGTATAATCTTGTGTCATTTGGTCGTGAAAAGCTCGTTTTCATTGTGTCCTAAATTTTAGATGCATAATCAATATAGAATACATTAAAGGCATTTGGCAAAGAAATAGACCTTAACAACTAAGCAACAATCGATTGTTGCATCTTATCCATACATTATACAAAAGTTCATTATTTGCGGATGGCTTAATTGATTCATCCATAAAGCTAGTCTTGTTTCTAATCGAGAGAACTTGTAAAAATGACTTACTCCAATTAGCATGATTATTAGATGTGAGCTCGGGAGAAAATATAACCGATCCATGATGATCATCATGATGCAAGAAATAAGGCGAAAAAGGATCTTCTAATAGAGAGATCAAATAAGCGAGTAGATGAAAAATCAATTATTCTACCTCTTGAAGTCATTGATAAATTCTAGTAAGATTTGAAAAGCAAAGTTGGAAAATCTTACCAAGAATTGACAAATGAAAAACGAGTCAATATTCACATATTGAATAAAAGATGATGGAGATGATATGAGCACAACTTGGAAAGCTTGCAATCCTAAGATTTTAGCTCTCATACCATACTGAAAAATGCATTGTGAAATGAATTTGATGGAGAAGAAAAGAGAAGAGAAGAGAATTTGAAAGGAAAAATGGAATATGAATTCTTCTAATTTCTCTATTAATTTGTCGAATGATTTACAAATGCTATATATATACTCACCATACTTTATCATCTCATATACATAGACATGATATCTTATAGAAAAATAATATTTATAAATCTCACTTTTATGTGAAAAAATAGAATGCAACTCTTGGTACATCGAAGAACTCTTTTGTAAAAGTTTAGGTCATAAATTTCACTTTTGAGGAAAATACGTAACTCACTAAAACATTAGCAAATATTTTAATAAAAATGGGCGACATGTGTCGAAAGAGTCAAGTTTGAAATGTTTGGTATATTTTGTTTCGAGTGCAACAATAAGCATAAAGAATGATTAACTATTCCCATCAATACGGGATATGAAATGTTATGTCATTAAAACCATTCGCATGTTATTATGCTTATTTTGTAGTGCTAACATTTAAATTATTTCTTATTTTTTTGGGTGATTATATATTAATAATTAATAAAAACAGTTAAATAATTTAGGTTTTCACTATTCATTTCCTCTTAAATTACTATTCATTTTTTTAAATTTTGGACAATGAAATTTTTGTGATTTTGTTTTTGCTATTTTTGGGTATCCATATACAAATTTTACATTATATTTTATTTTGGTCTCCGAAATTTTTTAAAAATATTTTTGATCCTTGGATGACCAGGCTTGCTTTTTTTTTTCCTTTTTTTCCTTTTCTTTTCATGCATTTTTTTTTATTGAAATAGAACAAAAATTTTGAAAAACCATTTTTTTATGGTTTTACACACACACACACACACACACACACACACACATATTGGATTATATTACTTTTATTATTTAAAATTGATTTCTTAACTTTGTCTTTCTTATGAAAATTCTCTTCAAATGAGTTTTTTTATTCTTTTTTTATGTAATTGTATTTGCTAATAAATATAATTTATTTTTCCAAGTTTATGGTTTTTTGAATAATTTTTTTTAAAAATAATTAAATAATCTTTATATAATCAAAAATTTATAAGAATCAATTTTATGATTTTTTTTATTACGATCTATTAACTTCAATATATTCTCCACAACTAAAGTTTTTTTTTAAAATATATTTTTAATTTATACTTGCATATTCTCGAGCCATTGAGTATGGTCATGATGCATAAAAAATAAATTCGGATCGTTGATTTTATTGAAAATTTATTATATATCTACACACATATTCCAACAATTTGTTATTAATTTTTTTTAAAATAAAATTAATTTCTTTGAAAAAAAATAAGTAAAATAATATTTTAAAAGAGCCACTAATAATTCAAATACATTTTTTATACTAATATCGTTGATTATTTTGTAAACAAAAAAATTAATTCATGTGCTTTATTTACTTATTCTTTTATAATCAAAATTTATGAAAATTAATTTTATGGTTGTTTTTATTGCAATCTATTAACTTCAATATATTCCTTAAAATTGAAGTTTTTTAAATAATATTTTTTGATTTATGCAACACATTCTGACCCACTAAGTATAATCATGATATATAAAAAATAAATTAAGATAATTGGTTTTATTGGAAATTAACTATAAGTCTACACACATAACACCAACCATTTGTTATTTTTTTTTAATAAAATTATTATTTTTAAATAAAATAAGTAAAATAATATTTTAGAAGAATCACCTAATAATTCAAATACAATTTTTTATACTAATATTATTGATTATTTTTTAAATAAACATATATAAATCAAATACACTTCTTATAAAAAAGTTAATCTTCTCATCAATATTAAAGAACAATAAAAAAATTTGGTTAAATTTTACACAAGTTTCTATATTAATTGTTGTTTTATTTTTTGATGCAATTTTATAAAAAAACTATTAGAATGTTTTTTAAAATTTTATATTAAATTTTCTGTTTAGATTTTTAGAGATTTTTATTTAAGAACAAAGGTATAAAGAAAAATAGATCATGTTTTTTTTTAACAATAAAATTTGTGAAACGTACAAAAAATAATACATTAAATACAAAATTTTAATTAAAAATTATGAAAATAGATGAAAAAATTTTCAACCTTTAATTTTATATATTTTAATTAATCTACAGTATAGTATAAACTACCAAGTAAAATAAATTTATTTTATTTAATCCTTAGTATAGCGTAAAAAGCTAATTAATTATATCTCTAAATATCTCTAAATAGCTAACGATACTATCAAATCTGGTACTTTAGATTGAGCCAGTCCTTTTTTTTTTAACTATCTAAACTTGCTCTTTTTTTATTATTATAAAGAAAAAAATTCGAACATAAGATTTCTTGATGAAAGGAGGGAATATAAATGCGGTTGATCTGCAGCTCATTGATATCTGAACTTGCCATTTGATGTACCTTCGTATATATGTACACACACTCATACACGCAGGAAAACGCCAACTATTTCTCTAACGAAAAAAGAAAAAGAGATAAAGGTGAAGGTAAAAGTAAAAGCTAACTAGTTAATAAAACACATAGCATACCCCGTATCTTTGTGTTTTCTGTAGAGAGCGGTCGTAACTTTTACTCCTTCACTCCCTATGGAATTGTGGGCGTGACTTTTTGCCCTGGCATCTCGGAATGGGCAAAGCAAAGCCCAATAGCAACTCATCACTTTTCCACAGTTTGATATTTTTTAACATTTTTTTAGACCCTAGTAAAAGTAAAGAGGAGACAGGCATGGTCTGGAACCGTAAGCTTCAATAAAAAATTTCCATTTACGAAAGAGAAAGGAAGGAAGGAGGCAGGGTAGGGAATATTCTGTGGGGTTAAATACAAAGTTGATGATAGTTACATGCATGGAAGCATATAGCCGGCAACCCTCCCTGCTTTTGCGGTTAATATATATATTTTTTGTCTATTAATTAGTAGTAAACATTCATATTACCCTAAAGTCACCTCTCCCATACTTCACTGAGCTAAAATAATAATAATAATAATAACAAAGAAAGAGAAAACATAAATAAGCAAGCAAAGTGAGTGGAGTCCCTCAAGGTGGCCATTTAGGAGTATTTATTTTATATCATATATATGTTGACCTTTTCACTTCATGGTTGCTTGGGGTTGTTGCTCTTGCTCGTCGATCCTACGTAAAATGTAAATAAACTTGCTCAGCACATACGCAAGCACACTGCCAAGGTTCAAACGTGAGTTTTGCTTGTATCAAAATTTAAATTTGGAACCAAAACAATGTGGTTTTAGGGTTTACAAATTTAAAATATATAGATCATTCATACAACAAAGTTATTGGTATAAAATCCAAGGAATTTATTTCCATAATAAATACATTAAATCGATGCAAAAATTGTGTTTCTAAAATCATTAGAGAAATAGATTTATTTTTATTTGATGTATGAGTTGTCTCGAAGACTACTTCCATCAGAAAATAGAAGTAAAAAATAAAAAATAAAAAAGACAAGAAAGTTAATTTCAATAATGTCTCATTGAGGGGGACTTAATTGAAAAATATCTTGCTCAGAGACTTAGTCATAAATGGGAGAAGTATGTACTTTCTCCGAAATAACTCTATCCTTTATCTCTCAATGTTACGATCACTTTCCCACCAAACACTCTAAGAATAAAGTTTAACAATTTAAAAATATTTATTTTACTTGATTCATTACAATAATTATCTTAATAAATAAATAAATAAATAGCTTTATATAATTTTGAACTATATACGAACATATATTCCTATAGTGTCAAATTCTATTATCTTTATAATGCTATCTAATTTCGATGATCTTGGTTAATTTAGATAGCGGTATTGAAAAATGCATATACCTAGGGAAAATTACAAAGAGAATCAAAGTTAAAGACCTTTTTTTCCCCCTTGAGTTGATATTTATACTTAAACTACAATGAACAAAATCAACAAGTAGTTCATTTTTTGAGATCTCAGGAGCATTTATTCAGAAAACAGACATCGTCTATTTTTTAATTTAAATTAATCAAATTTACATAATCATTAGAGTAAATTAAATCTATAAGTATTTAAATTATCATATATAGACAGATTATAGAAAGGTAGATTCGTAGATGGGTCTTGGGTCTCAGAGCACTACCGGACCGGTTTGCATAATCCAAAAGTAGTTTTGGGCCATTCTATCTACAAAACAAAAGGGCTCAAAAAAGCAGTCTTCAACCTACAGAAGTAAAGTCCAGTCCAGTCCAATCCAGTCCAAGACGACAAAAACCACCGGTCGCTGAGATGCCATAATTAGAATAGCGCCTTCCTCCAGAGTATAAGAGGGTCCTTCCTCTGCTAAACCAAGGCAAGCGACCCAAAGCTAGGAAAAAAATGGCTCCTCCAAAAGTTCTCATGGTAATAACTACTACTTTCGATTTCCTTTAGTAGCGAAGAAGTTGCTTTATAAAAATGATTACTTATTGCAGGTTGCAGAGAAACCAAGCATCGCTCTATCTATTGCTTCGGCACTCTCCCGCGGCCAAGTAAAATACCCTTTCTCCGTCTGTTTTCCGATTCTCGAACCCTAGCTTTTTTTTTTTTTTTGACTTGGTTCTGCATGTTGCAGATGCATAGCAGGAAAGGCACTACTGAGGTTCATGAATTTGAAGAAATGTTTCTTGGATTTCCTGCGCACTATAAAGTCACTTCAGTCTTTGGCCATGTTTTCAGGTCCTTTTTTCCTCCCTCTTTTCCAATGCAATATTATTTTCAATCACTTAAGAGTTGTTTGGTTTTTAGCACCAAAAAAGAAAAAAAAGGGTTAATTTTCTATGTTGCTGCTTCAACATTTTGAAATTAACATACTTGGGTGTGGGGGATATGCACTGTTTTTAATTTCTTTTACTTCATCAATAGGGTATGTTATCCGGTATTTGACGTTAGCTTAATCAGGGATTTCTTCTGGAGATTGTCCATCGCTTATGATTCTTAGGGATATTGATGGACGAAAAGGTAAAAAAAAATTTCTTAGCTGAGTGCCATTGTGAGTATAGTATAGGATTGTGGGATTTTTTTGCATCATGTGATAGGTTATTATTCTGGCTCATGGTAAAAAATGACGAAACCGTGCTCGTAAGTTTATGGAAAATGTGTAAATAAAGGGCTGTTTCTTTTTCGAAGTAACTAAAGTTCAGTTTTGGCTATCTATGGAATGTTATATGTATATCAGCAGTCAATGGACCTTTCATTTGGTCCAGCAGTAAGTGTTTTGCTCATCTTAGCTAACTTATTCACGCTACTTATTGTGTTTTTTCCCCCTTTTCCCATCTTCTTATGCAAGTTTAGTGTAGATTTTCCAGCCAAATATCAGGACTGGGCCACCACTGATCCTATTGATCTTTTTCAAGCTCCAATTCGTAAGGCAGAATCAAATCCAAAGGTAACACTGGCTCTTGTCATCTATTTGCAGTTTCTTTGCCTTTTGGATTGTCTTGGATGTTACGAGTTTAAATGCCATTTATAATGCTTGCATGTGTGCTTGCATCCATGGGTCTGTGCGAAGATCTCAAATTACAGTGCTTGTCACATTTTCATTGCATATAAACCCATCAATTTATGCTTAGTGTATCAATCAGGTGCTTGTTCACATGTCATTAGTTGCTTCTCCTAGAATTCATGCAATATCAGTTGTGATTATGATAATGTCATCTTTCAAAAAATGGTTTCTGATATTGCTTGCAAGTTGCAACTCATAGTGTTTATTTTTATTTTATTTTATTTTATTTTAACAAATGTATTTAGCACTCAACAGTTAGTAAGAACATGAGTATTGTGGGGCTGTGATTTCTTATATATATATTTTTTCTGTAGATAGTTTTAAGTCTTCTTTTTAGAGAATAATTTGACTGTTTCTCTAGGTGTTAAGGTTCATATTTTTAGGTAATTAAGCCAAGAAGCTCATGGTTGCAGGCTCATATTTGTAGGCATTTAAGTCAAGAAGCTCGTGGTTGCAGTCATTTGGTATTGTGGTTGGACTGTGATCGTGAAGGAGAAAATATATGCTTTGAAGGTAATTTTATGGCTTTTAAATGTTCTGATGCAACTTTCATGGTTATAGTACTTGATGCACGGAAATCTAGTATATTTGAATTCTGAATCTTTATAAAGAATGAGGGTCTTAATGAGAATGTTTGATCAGCCTTTGCAAGGATCAAATCATTTGTGTTTTTGAGAACTTGATTGTGCAAAAGGTGATTATTAGGCTTGTTATTTGTCTAGGAGGGAGAAGAGAAACCATCTCAAGCATATCTTCTCATCAGCTTTAATAGGCATGTAAACAGAATAATGTATGGCACAAGTGGTTTATGTATATACAATGTGTACTTTCAAAATTACCTAAGCATTTGTCCATAAGTTAAGTGTTAACTGCACAAGTTCTCTAACGTCTATCGTAATTGACATTAGGCAAGTTGGTGATGGAAGATTGATTGCTGATGTTTGAGTAGGAGAACTTTTAGGCTGAGTTGGAAGATTCATATTCATTTGACTGGTAAATCTATCAAAAAATTGTGGTTAGCCCAGGATTAGTGAGATGCTTGACAAGAATTAAATGGTGAGCCTGAAATGAGTTGGTGTATTTACAGAACTAATATCTTAGAGCAGCACTGATATAGGTTATCAGGGCATCTGTAGAGATATTCATTTTTGTGTGATTTGAGTGGAAATTAAGTTCTGGGTTGGCTGTGGATGAAGATTTTAAAAGGAATCGAGGATTGGATTGATGCTAAATATCTTGTTTTCATGACTCAATTCAGATGTGAGCTTTTTTTCTTAGAAGAATATAGATTTTATTTCTGAAGCCAATATCTCTTGAGTGGGGGATTTGACCATAGGCACTGCAACTCCTAGGTCCTCAAACTCATGAATTTTGCCACTTGATCACCTCATTGACTAAGAATGCCAACTTATATGCATGATGCTGCCAAGACAGGAGAAACAGTGAGAAAGAATGTGTAGCGTAGAAAGAAGAAAATCAATTATAAGGGGTAAAAGGATAACAACGAGCAAATATTTCTTAAAAGAAGATTTCAAGTCTGAAGTAACACTTTCCACAATTAAATTTAATTGAGGAAAGTATTACTTTATGGCTAAATAAAGAATTAAAAAAAATAAAATCCATGCTTGATCCATTATTCTGACCATTATAACGATCTACAATTGAAAACCCTAAAAATACCAAATCATAACCTAGAAAATGGTACATCATAACCATTGGTTTGAAACCTGAACTGAAGAAGCCAAACAATTATGATATTGGACTTTAATCTGGTAAATAGGAAATTTGCAATGAATAGAAGACTTGAAAAAACTAAAAACTGAAATGGCAATTGGACTCTTGTAGACAAAAAATGTCTTGTTTTTCATGTGTCTCATAGCTTGAGTTTTGGATTTCCACCGTAAACTGAAATGGCAGTCGGACTCTTGTAGATCAAAACTGTCTTGTTTTTCATGTCTCCCATAGCTTGAGTTTGGGATTTGCACCGTAAGTGTGCCTTCTATTTGTTCCTTCTTTGGATTTTTTTTTTTAAAAGAGATCTTACATTGCTGTCCTCACCAAGTAGGAACCACTATAAGTAATATAGCTATTTAGATGTGTGACAGACAAATGGGAAGGAAGCCTACTTAGAAGGATTGCATGACGGATAGTAGGAGGCTGATCTTTATAATGGGTCATAAGTTTGGGTCACATATTAGTAGATTTTATTCTATCGAATTCAGCTTACCTACAATTTTTTTTTTTTTAATATACTGGCAAATCGATGGGGCTACCATGTGCTGGACTTTCTAAGAAAAATGTTCCATGTGCTTATTAATAAAAATTTCACTAAGTTAATGTTGATTGTATCAACTACCAAGAGCTAGGAGAATCTGCACATGCTTTCTTTACAAAAGTGGTTGTCATAACTTTCTCTGAATATCTGACCTCAGAAAATAAGAATTTGTTGGAATTTAGTCAAGACCTCGATATGCTAGCTACACAAAAACAAGTATAAAACAGTTTATTTTTTCACTATCTAGCCTCCTTCATAAGTGAAAGTTCATTGTTTCTACAGTTATTCAATGTACCGGTTTTCAAGCAAACGATGCTAGAAGAAGGGTTCATCGTGCACGATTTTCTTCAATTACTGAGAGAGACATTTTGAAGGCTATGAACTGCCTTGTTGAACCCAACAAAGATGAGGCATTGGCTGTAGATGCTCGGCAAGAGATAGATTTGAAAGTTGGCGTTGCATTTACACGATATCAAACTAGTTATTTCCAGGGAAAATATGGGAATCTTGATTCCAGAGTTATCTCGTAGGTCCTTTCTCCTCTTAATTATGGTTTATCATGCAGTCAGTGTCTTTACCATTTGTAATGCTTTGTTTTGGGAATGCATGTCAGTTCCACATATCGTTAGGAATTCTATTCTGCAGTCTAAAATCTGTGAACTTATAGAAGGTTAGAGAAAATTAAAGATCATTTTGGTAGTTTTTTTCAATTTGTTTTGATAGTACACACCAATGGATTACATTATACAAAGTTAAAACCAAAATAGATGTATATGTCCTAGATTGGTGGGAAAACATTTTCATTCAGATCTTAATTCAGTCCACAAGTTAGATGGAGTCGGTGGTTTTGCTGACATGATAGCTTTGACCATTAACAGAAAAGTAACTGATATTTGGATGTGGATGAGTTGCACAGAGTATTATGATGTAATCTGACAGATCATCTGGAATGTTGGCCCTATATAAACTTCTCCTCCTTTCTTATTCTTCATCAAGCCACCATACTTAACATTTCAGGAAAAATCTTACCACGACAAGGAATAGATTATATGTCTGCTCCATTTGCCCCTCCTAAAACCATCATCTCTCTCTTCTCTCTCTCTCTCTCTCTCTCTCTCTCTCCTGTTCACAGAAAGCAATGGGTTTGAAGAACAATCCAGACATTAGGTTTTATTTCTTTGTTGTAAGGAAGATGTTGGGTTGGTGATGCTTCAGGAATTTTTGAGTCAAATCAAAGCATCCCAGCCACTGATTGGGGTTTTAAGTTTGATTCGATTGCAAAAAATCTTGGTGCTTTTCAAGACATTTTTTTTTTAAATTGTTTGCTGAGAGTTTAATTGGTGTAACTGTTTGCTTTATTTGTTTGTGATTTTAATCCTGATTCCCATTTCTTTTTGATACTTCTATTTCCATTGTTACAGGAATTGCAACGGGCAAAACATTTAGTGCATATATATATATGTACACACACACACGCACGCATGCTTTCCTTCTAGTTTATGCTACTGTTGAGAGACAAAGTGGCCTTTGATAGACTTTCTTCTATTTTCCTTTTTTTCATTTTCGGAAAATGGACCTTGATGTAGTAAAAACTACCGTTTTTCATCATATGGCTAGTTAATACAATGAAAATAGTATGTGCGGCAAGTTGACACTAGTTGGTTCGATATTTTTCAAATATTTTTCAAAAAATTTTGTCGCCAGCCAAAATTCCTACATAAAGAAATTACTTTGGTTTTTGACTTTTGTGGACCACTTCTAGTGTATGTTCTAGAGTTTGAGATCTTGATTACACGTCTTGAAAGTAGTAGGATGAAATCCAATAAATTTGAGGACTAATTAAGGCTTGAAACCTTTGTTTTATTGTTTTAAATTCCAGGTGCCTCAGTTTCGCCTTGATTCACGAAGTGACCCTATCCGTAATTTCCTCCTTTTTTATTTGTACTGCAATTGACAGCATAGCCTCTTTTATTATTATTATTGGAACCATTGTTAAAATGAGAAAGAACAAACATATAGAAGCAGTCTTTTGAAGAAACACAAGAGCGGTGCTACTACTGTTGTCTCTGCTTACCATTGTTTGGGGATTTCAAGAGCCTTAATTTCTTATGGATTCAATAAGTGCCCTTTATAGATTTCAAGGGTAGCCTAGTGGATTCTAGGTTTTTTCCCCTCATGTAAATCACTTTATTTTTTTCTATATCAATTTACTCTGTTGATTTTATAGGAAATTGCACTCCTTAGCAACTGTTTATTGTTCTCTTTCATTTATTGACTGCATTCCTCATTTTCTTTAATGTTCTTTTCTCTTTGCTTGCCTGGTTGGGGTGGCAAAGTTCTACTTGCTTTGCAAATTTCTGACCGCAGTCTTTGTTTATTGCAAATGCACTTCACTTTAACATTTTAGATTATTTTTATGTATGTGCATGTGCTCCATCTCGTTCCATCACCTCAAGCAATCAGTTAATCATGCTTAATAACCTCTTCTTTCAGATACGGGCCATGTCAAACTCCTACCCTTGGGTTTTGTGTACAGCGGTATTTGCAAATTACTACTTTTAAGCCAGAAAAGTTTTGGGCTTTGCACCCTCACATAATGGTTGATGGCTATGAACTTCAACTAGAATGGGAACGTCAAAGGTTATTTGACTTCGATGTGAGGCTTTCTTTTCCTTAACCTAGATTTTCTCAGGATTAGCTTTTATCTAGAAAGAAAAGCTTTTTCATATTTCTACATATTGCAGGTTGCTTTGATGTTTCAAAAGCTGGTATTACAGGATAGAATATTGGAAGTAACTGAGATTTCAGAGAAACATGAAAGCAAAGGCCGCCCTCCTGGTCTAAACACAGTGAACCTTTTAAAGGTTAGAGAAACGAGTCCTGCCACTTGCAAGCTACTTGGTAGCTTGGTTCAGCTTATTCATTTGCAACTTTGTATCATGCATCTTTGCTCCCTTGTGAGCTGAACTTCTGGTCTAAACACAGTGAGCCTTTTTGAGGTTAAAAAAATATGGGGATTGGGAAAAGAAAGCTGATGCTTGCGAGCTATTTGGGCTAGCTTGGTTTGGCTTATTCATTTGCAACTCTCGTTCTGGCATCTTGACTCCCCAAGTATGAGCTAAACTCTGCTGGGCTCAGTTCATGGGCTCTCAAGCGCAGCTTGAATGTAATTATGAAGTTTAGTGTTTGAAGTTCCTGGCCAATTTTAACAAGGCATAAACACTTAACAGTAGGAAACTCGCATGGACAAAGCAAGAATACCTGCTTGTCTATTCTCCTTTTTGTAGTTTTGCCACTCGTGTTTCTTATTAGAGTTGACAAAAAAAGAAAAAAAAAAGAGGACAAATGGCTATTCGTCTGCTCTCAAACAGTTTTCAAGTTGATAAGGCTGTAGGTCAACCGAAGGTCACAAACATTTTTTACACTCGGCTTATTTGCCTGCTTCAAAGGATCTGATTTATTCATAGAGAAGTAGTTATGTTAAAAAGTAAGTAAAGTGGGAGAGAGTTTTTGACCCCACTCACACCCTCATTAAAATACTTGCATGCTACGAATGTAAGTTATATTTTATGATCCATGCAAGTAGCAGCAATATCTCTATAGAATAATTATCATATTTTTTGTAGTTCTGGAAGTAAACCTTATGCGTTATGATGCCCGTGAAAGATCAGAATAATACTGGCAGCTGCTACTAATGTGGTTGTTTTGATGTGCATTGAAAATTTTGACCACATAAAAGTTGGGGGGAATTTTTGGTATTGCAGTGTCAGTTATTTGCTTAGTGTCAATTATGAGTTCTTGCCTAATGTTAATTAAAAAATCAGTCTTTTTTTCTGGTCCCATTGACATTCGACTTGGTAGGAAAACATGGAATGTCTTACTCTTCAGCATTTTTACATGAAGTGGCTGGTCTCAAGACTCAAAATCTCCTTGTGGGTTGTATGGCCAGAACTCTTTACCATTATAATAAGCAGTGTCCCTATTGCCTAGTGTCATGTACTCCACCTGGTCTCAAAGTTAACACTATAAGTTCTTTGTATAGATGGAAAATGTACCTAAGAAATGATTGTGTTTTCTTTCCTTTTTCAGATTGCTTCAAGTGCACTAGGCTTTGGACCTCAACTGGCCATGCAGCTGGCCGAACGTCTTTATACTCAGGGATTTATCAGGTTTTCCTAAGTTCCTTGTCCCAACGTAATTACTTTGTTCTTTGGTGTGTTGCACTTGTTTTGGGTAGCAGATGGAAATTCTCTACTTATTTTCATAGTCATGTTGTTATATCATTAGCCAATTTGAGCTAAACACAATTGTTAGAGTTTGATTTATTGAGATATGAAGTATCCGAGCGTCATTACAGAGTTTGTCCTTCCGATTCATGGTGTTGGAAGTGGATACAAAAAAAGTATCTTTCACCAATAATATACCTACAGGTGTACATAGTAGATTCTAAAACCGAAAACTATGAGGACAAAATGTTTAGTTTCCAAAATTTTGGGTGTCGAAAACTATATGCCAATACTAACTTAAACCTTTGTTTGTTGTGGTGTGTCCCAGAACAGTCCATGCAGAAGGGAAATGCTAAAGAAATTCCATATGCTCTTTTTTTTATTGTAAAGATTATCTTATGAAAATAATTATGAGATTAAGCAATAAATAGGGGAGCTAATGTCGAGTTTTTCACTTCGCACCTGACTAGTTAGGTTATATTGGCAGAGCCTAAGGCCCTCTGATTCAGTAATTATGGACCTATCCTTTTGAAGCGCTTCTTTGTCTATCGATTGGACTTCTATAATCCCCTATCTCTATTTGGTATATGATTCATGAAGTTTATACTGATTTGTGCATGACTATTGCCTCTCTCAGCCTTTTTTAAGGTTGTTAAAATTGCCTGTCACATGTTTACATTTAGGGCTGTTGGCAGGTTGAGTTCAGGCTGGATTATATTATATCCATGTCCGATTTGTTCGATAAATGTGTTGGATCAGATCGAATAAATTTGGACCTCATTGTCAGTCCATATCCTAATCCCAACGGATTCAGGTTGGGTCAAAAGATCCATTGGATTTATCAGTCGTTCTTTTTGCTCGCTACATTTAATGTATTTACTTGCAAGAAAAATCTTGACTAGATAAGAAAAGGAAAGTGCTATGCATACAAGCAATTCGTACTAAATTTTCTTTCAAACTGATGTGTTAATAGATCACTGCAATATTAAATGATTGATTATTTATGGAAAAAGTGATTGGCACATTAGTTTGTATAAAATTTTTGTATGATTTGTATATAGCATTGCTCATAAGAAAATATCTTATGGCATTATTTCCTAAGTTTAATATTAAAAAAAAAAAAATCAAAACAGCACACCATTCTAAAGCACAAAATAAAATAACTAAATGAGAATTTGACTTCTTAAAAACAGAAGAAGAAAAAAACTAATATACCAATACTTAAAAGTTTAAGCAAATGAAAGAATTAGAAATGTCCTACACAACCAAAAACCAAACATGTCTTAGATTATCCTGATTTCCATATTAATTTAATAACAAATCTACATGGATATGACTCAATTTGAAGAAGAAATTTACTTTGCTTTGTAGTTCTTGAATGGAATTCTTACTTTCAAAAAATGCTTTCTGAAAATCAAAGAGATGCCTTCCCTGTCATCAATAATAATAAGAAAAAAATGTTATCAAGACTTCAGAATAAATAAGCCCTCATGTAAGTATATTTATATAAACTTAAACCTATTCCTATGTTATATTTATATTTTCATGTTTTTTTAGATACTATATTTATAGGAACAAAATAAATACTAAATTTAGAGTGTCAACTCACTGAACTCAGTAGACAAAACAAGTCGCAAGATGTTTTTGAACTTCTTTTGGTTCATTTTCACTATGATTGGGACCTTGTCTTTCAGAAAAAAATATGTGAAGAATTAATTACAAAAAAATAAAATAAAATAGAAATGGCAGATATAATTTGTTTAATCTTATATTAAGTCATTTAAAGCTTATATCACTTGAACTTCTAGTTTTCAAATTTAATTATTGATGGTATATGTGAATATTGAAGTTCATTATGAATTTGAAGTTTATGTAGAGTTTTATTTCTTCTTATTTTTAATGTTGTGTATTATTGGACTTTTTACGTGCATATTTCTACATCTATCCTTAAGGTTTTATATAGTTTGTCAACTCTTTACCATTTTACAATTCAATATTATGATACGAGTCATTGGAGCCAGAGTAAAAAAATCACTTTTAAAGACCTTGTTCTTCTTCCCTTTTTTTTTTTTTTTTTTTTTTTGTTGGTTTCTGTGATATTTTTTGTATGCCTTGGAGTTACTACAATTTTAGGCATGAGAAAAGGAAAATGTTGCTATCACAGTTTCATGGTCCTGCTTAAGTGGGAATTTTGGTAGTTTTGGTCATACACTATTTTTCGTAATGGGGTCACTTTCAATTCCAAACTGATGACAATCCTAGACTTTACTGTGGCATGCAAATGAATATATGAATTGTCTATTAGACGTTTGAAGCAAAAGAACTTCAATGTAAACTTATTGGAGGTTGCATATCATAGACAAGCGTGTCTATCACTCATGAACGGACAACTGTTATTTTACAATTATTCACAGGCCATAATTTTACTTATTCTCCAACATGTTTCCAGACTAGTTATTTATGTTCTTGAATTAAATAATATATAATATTCACAATTAGAGGCCTATATATTGAAGATTGATAATAGAACACATAAATATATGATTGTTGCTAGATCCTCTAATGATTCAAATCATTAGTTTAGTCACTTTTCCTTGTCTTTGTAGGATTTTTAACACCCCTGATAATAATTTTATGCTGCCCTTTTAGTTATCCACGTACAGAGAGCACTGCATACCCTCCCTCATTTGATTTTAAAGGAACACTCGTTGCACTAGCAAACAATCCAATGTGGGGCAACTATGTCCAGGGACTGCTTTCTGACAGTTATCATAAGCCTCGGTCAGGAACTGATGCAGGTGACCATCCTCCTATAACTCCAATGCGGCCAGCAAATGAGGATATGCTTGGAAAAGATGCTTGGAGACTATACCAGTATGTCTGCCAACATTTTATGGGGACTGTATCTCCAGACTGCAAGTACATAAGGTAAATGTCTCGAAGTTTTATCCTTGTATTTATGGTCCAGTCTTAATCTCTTAGCCATGGCATTTTAGCATTGCACCGTGGTCAGTTATGTACCTATATGACACATGGTCTTCTAATATTTGAATCATCTGTTTATTTGCTGCTACATGTTTGCAAATTTTTTCCTTGCATTTTTATTTCCTTTCATTGCAAGGCTTTTCCCTGATAATGCGCTGTTCAGAACTTTTATTTTAGATCAGCACGTTGTCCTTGTTCAGCGAACATTTGAAGTCAACCAAAAACCTTGACATTCTTAAATGAAACACCTCATCATGGTTGTCTTTTCCAGCTTTGACGAGGAAATGGTATTGAAAGCTTTGTCTTAACACCAAACGAATATGAGGGAGAAATGGCAGTTTCTCATCTGTGCTATTGTCAGGATTGGCCTCAATGGATGGATGAGGGATGAACTCTCTGCCACTCAACTGGTTAAGGATACTGAGTCACCATATTCTTTCATAGTAAGGTCGAAAGAAACAAGGAACCATATTCATTTAGTGTCATTAGTAAATGTTTTTGATATATGTGCCATTGTCAGGAATGAACTTGCTAGTTGGATGGGTGATGAGTGATGCCTGCTTTGCATTCATCTAGTTAAGAATTCTGACAAACAAATTTAGAGCTGTTTGGACTTGGCTTCGCCTGGCACAAAGCTTGTTTTGAATCAACTTGAAAATGAAAATATCGAAGTTTGAGCTACACTGGGCTTAAGCACAATGAGCCAAGGCCTGGTCATTGTGCTCAACTCAATAGCTTGCTAACTCATAATACGGGCTACAAAGGCTATGGCACTCAAATTTTTGTTAATGCTCACATCTTAGGTGCATAATATTTCTCTGACCAACTCTTAAGGCCTAATGCTATGGCACTGATTCAGAGGCCTTTATTATTACAATTTACTGATTTTGTGTGAAATATGAGTTAAAATGGAAAGTGATAAGGTTGGCTGCTGGAGGATGAGTTCAGGGAAAAGTTATAGTTTGATTGTTTTAGTATTGTATAGTGATTTAGGAACTTAGAAATTAAAAATAGATCCGAAGGTAGGGAAATCAAAGACAAACAACAACTAGCCTCGCACCAGTAGGTTCAAGTAATCACTCTAATGGAAGACATTTCCTATATATGTGATATGCCATTTGAGTTATTCCTAGTCCCAATTAGACTTGGATTCCTAAACGAGAAAATGTCTTCCATTTTTAACTAAGAAAGAGTAACCTCAATGAGAAATCTAAATCTTACTCATTAGGAAATATTTCCAATTTGAGTATGTAAATGGTGAACATTTATTTTGGTTTCCAGGAACAGGGGCAGGTTATGAAATTGTGTATTTTTTTCACTGAGATTATTATGAATCTCTTAAATGTATCATTAACCAAACATTATCCTGTCTATTCTCTAAGCCTTGTGAAGTTGCACAATTTACACTGCGAAAATTCTGTCATTGCAGACTTGAATCTGCATATTGGGGATCGAGTATTATGTATAGCTTGATTGAGTAAGTAGGTAGAATTTTGAGTGCTGTATAATTTGCGTTATATTAGCTACAAATTAGAAGGAAAAGTGTCATTTTATCTTGGATCTGTAATCAAGTATCATTAGAACCATGTTTCATGCTAGCCCAAGTGGTCTTTAATTTCATGGATGAAAACTGTATCAAGCCAAACTTGACATCTCAATGTAAAGAAACTTGTGACTGCATTTATGTGCTGTTACCAAATCAATAGAATGCTATCCCTGTTATTGAAGTTTGTCTTACAGAATATGAATTGGACTGAATTTTTGTCAATGGTACTTGGGTGGTCAATTAAGTCATGCTGTTGAAGAATGCTACCATTGACTTAAGTTTTTTTATTTTTTCCCCTCCCTTTGTGTCATACAATTTTATTTTGTAAGAATATATATATATATATATATATATCACTCAACGATGCATGGATGGCTAAATGGTCTATTATTGATTTCTTCTTATATTCCTTTTCAGTGCATTTGTCATAGTTCTGTTTTTTTTTTTCCTTGGCGGATATCTTATTCTCTTTCTCATATGATGGTATTTTCTTAGTTTATCCTAAAACAAATGATTTTCATTTCAGGACGAAGGTAGAATTCTCAGTTGGTGGTGAGTTCTTCCATTGTATAGGGCTGCGTGTTACAGTCAAAGGATTTACATCAATTATGCCATGGTTGGCAGTAATTGAGAAAAATCTTCCTCGGTTTGCAAAAGGAGATAAAATTGAAGTTTCAAATGTAGAGCTATTTGAGGTATTGTTGGAACTATCATGCTCACAATTTTCTTCTTCTTTTTTTTGGGAAAAAAAAAAGGAAAAAGAAAAGAAAACTGGGTCTGGGGATTCACTTTTGAGGGTTTTGGGAGATAAAAAGACAGTAAGATGTTGTGGAAATGTGCCTGTGCAATAATTTGGTGCGTTGGGAATAAGTTCAATTCTAGGATTTTCCAAACAAGCTTATCTTTCCAGCTGCTTTTGTTATAAATTTGTGTTTTTAGCATCATTATGGTGCTCTGATGTTGGAGTATTTAGGGAATTTTCCCTGGGATTGGAGAACACTGTTGATCTAGTTCTACCTTTTTTGTGTTCTTTCTTTTGTTTGATCTGTAGGAGGATGTCTTATCCTCTTTTTGTACGCTCTTCTCCTTATGTTATTAAAATTACAGTTTTTTTTTTTTTTTTTTATATAAAAAAAATTTGGTCTGGGAACAGTGTTTCCGGGTGAAGGCAGATCAATGCTTGTTGACTAAGTCTATATGTGCTCCATGCTTCTTTAGGAAAGGACAGTTCTTTTTATAAAATGCAACAAAATGATAATTGCAAAAAAGATATTGTTTTAAATGTTTGTTGATTTCTGTATGTTGGTAATGCTTAATGAGTTCCTAAAATATGTAGGGTCAAACTGTTCCTCCAGACTATCTTAGCGAAAGTGAGCTGATTTCTCTGATGGAGAAGAATGGAATAGGTACAGATGCATCGATATCTGTACATATTAACAACATCTGCGAGCGCAACTATGTCCAGGTACATTATTAACATGTGTTGTTTTTTTTCCCAATCATTTAAATGCTTATTCTTATTTTGTTTTGTTTTCCCCAGTCGTGATGTTCCCTTTTAAGTTTCAAATTGCAGGTACAAACTGGCAGAAAGTTGGTTCCAACTACCTTGGGTATCACACTAATAAGAGGCTATCAATTTATTGATCCAGATCTCTGTTTACCAGACATTCGTGGTTTCATTGAGCAGCAGATTACGCTTGTTGCCAAGGGTGAGGCTGATCATTCTCGTGTTGTTCAGCATGTACTAGAACAATTCAAGCAAAAGTACAGTTACTTTGTTAAGCAGGTCATTATTTGATTTATCCTTTTCCTTCCCCTTTTCATTTTTTATTATAACTGATAGCATCTCTTGATGCAAAGTGGATTTAGGCATTGAACTCTTGTCCCCTTGTCTCTCTTTCATGTCAACTTTTGTGGCAATCTTATTAAATTAATTTATCATCTTCGTCAGTTGTGGGAATGATAATACTAGCAAAGCAATTTTAGATACTGTGGGGTAGCCTGGATCACCATCATATCACATTAATGTGTTTTCCATGGAGAAAGTGATGTCAAGAGTTATGTGGATTTGGTTACTTTTTTTTTTTTTTAGCGAGCATTGTGCTAATCATTTTGAAAATATTTTTTAAATATCCAGCAATCTATATACGAAGATATGTAGTGCATTGCATTTGTATGCTTTGCCTGTACATCACTTTTTGTCTGCGACAGTAGTTGGAGTGCTATTTGAACTTTGATTCGGATGGTTACTTTTCTTCCTTACCATTTTGCTTGCTATATATTTGGTCAGATTGACCACATGGATGCATTGTTTGAAGCACAGTTCTCCCCACTTGCTGACTCAGGACGAGCTTTAAGTAAATGTGGTAAATGCCTGAGGTACATGAAGTACATTTCTTCCCAGCCATCGCGTTTATATTGTGGTACATGCGAGGAAGTTTATTATCTTCCTCAAAAGGGAACAATCAAGGTAATAAGCTTTACCAGTAAAATAATTAATGCTCTCGATTTTATACCGAAAGGCATGAATGAAATTTAGAAAAAACTTTGCAGTATGTTTCACGTTCTGAAACTGTGGAGGCTGTGTAGTTACATGTTATCATCCAGTAACTTCTGTCCTTTTGCTATGATAAAATTGAATGATAATCTACAGTTCCATGTGTTATTTGTCTCAATATTCTGATACTATTTTGAGCGCACACAAGCAGTGCTGTGCCACTTCGCAATGCAGTTTTACTCTTTCTTCTATATCCCCCGTTCTCCTGTTTGTTTGGTAAGAACATCTTGAATTCTCAAGAGCTGAAGTTAAGCAGGCATTTCCTGAAATGAAATACAGAGAGAGAATTGTATATGGAAGAATTCTAGATTGACTTATTGGCATCTATTTGTCCGTGTGTATCGAAAAAAAAAAAAAAAAAGGCTGAAGTTCAGAATTCAACTGTCTTCTCGTACCAAACAAAAAAACAAAAAAAAAAAAAAAAAACAGAGAGAGAGAGGCTGAAGTGAAGAATTTGACTGTCTTCTTATGGACATTAGAAGAATAAAAAAATAGTAGATAAACCAGAGGAATTCACCACAAAGCACTCTTGATGGACTTCCACCTCTCAAAGCTGAATTTCAAATTGTCAATTCATTGACAACTCCAAATCCGCATGCACAGTCATGTTTTTTTTTTCCTTAAGATTTACTAAGGGTCTGTATCAATGGGCAGTACAGCTGATTGATTGACCCTGGCATGTCCAATCATGATGACATGAACTCATTGGTGAAAATGCTCATCATACAGTGGGATTCTTTGGATTTTGTGACTAGGTATCTCTTGCTCATAAGATTGAAACTTTGTAGCATTATTCTCATAGATATGTTGTCAGATCAGTTCTAGCTAAATCATCATTTTAACTGAATAATGGTTTGCTAGCTGGTACAGAAAGATGCGAATGGTGAACCAGTAGTAGTTTTGACAGAGCTCGTGGTTCTAGCCACTCAAAGCTTGAGTTTGAGTTGCTTGGTTTTACTTGCAGTTAGGGTGACATTACGATCATCCTGTTCTAAAATCATTTCTTTCTTCCCTATAACTAACTATTATGTTTTTTTTTTGGCAGCTGTACAAGGAACTAACGTGTCCTTTGGACAACTTCGAGCTGTTGATCTTTTCAATGGCTGGTCCAGAAGGCAAGTCATTCCCTCTTTGTCCTTTCTGCTACAATAGTCCTCCTTTTGAAGGTATAGACACTCTCTTTGGTGTTTCTAAGACCAGTAGTTCTGGGAAGTTGGGGAAGGGGACAGGCATGCCTTGCTTCCTCTGTCCACATCCTACATGTCGACATTCTTTGATAGCTCAAGGGGTTTGTGCTTGCCCCGAGTGCAATGGGATGCTTGTTTTGGACCCAGTAAGTGCTCCAAAATGGAGACTTAACTGCAATATGTGCAATTGCCTTGTCTTGCTCCCTCAAGGTGCTCACCGAATTGCCACCACTCGCAAGCGATGTCCTGAGTGTGACTCAGCAATCATAGAAGTGGACTTCAACAAGAATACGACACCCTTAGGGGATGGAGCAACCCTACATGTTGGTTGCATTCTGTGTGATGATTTGCTCCATTCTCTAGTGGAGGTGAAGCATGGGAAATCATTCTTCAAACGTGCAGGTAAGCTGGGAAGGGCAAGAGGAGCAGGGAGAGCTGCTTATAGAGGGAGAGGACGGGGTCTTGGAAAAATGGACCCGAAGATGAGCTTTCGGGATTTCTAAAATGTACGAACGGAAATATGTATTTTCTTAGGCATTGGTTTTCTTTTTCTTTTTTTTTTTCCCTGATAATTTTATTGCTCTCATGCTAATAGGGAATCATGAGTTTTCTAAATTGTGTAATGTTCTATGAGCATAAGACTGAACTTGTGGCCTCAGGAACCTTGTTGAGAGTGAGAGTATAACTGCTCTTATTTATTGCCATTTTTTTAGTAATATTTTAAGTTCAGTCTAGGGATGACAATGAGATGGTATAAATATTAAAAATGCCTAATGGGTATTGAAATGGGTAAGGATAAAAAAATGAATATCTACTAATATAGTTTTAGGATATAGATATCCACTTTTTATCCTATTAATATTTATTAATTTATTTAGATTTTTTTATTAATGCATAGGGGTCTAATTATATAAAATTTAAAAATTAAGGATCAATATATATATTTTTTAAACATTGGGGACTAAAAAAGTAATATGTAAATGGTCAAAATGCCAAAAAATAAAAAAAAATTCAAGGATAAAAAAATCTTTTGAAAATTATAGTTATTAAAATGAATATTTTTAATAAATTAAATTTAATATGTATTTAATGGGTGTTAAATAGGAAGGTAAATTAGTACAAATTGAGTATGGATTGGATAATGATTTATAAGATGATTTCTTAATGATTATGATATTTTTTTGATGGGTAGAATAAAAAATTAAATTAATGAATCGAGTATTCATCCATTATCATCCTTAATTTAGTATGTTGTCACTTTTTCTTCATTTGGTCGGCTAGGATATTGTTGTCAGAGTTTAAAGTTTAGGCTCATAGTAAAATTTTTAGGGCTCCACCCCTTTCGTCTAAGAAAAATATCAGAAAATCTCAATATAGCTTTTAATGTGTTATCATATTGATAATCAAGTTTCAAATGTTTTAATTTTATCAATTTTTCTTTATAATCAATATTAAACACTAGTGTTTCTTTATCTGTCAACAATTAGTGACAATTCAAAAGTTTCGTCTAATTTATATGTGATTCAAAGATAATGCTTGTAAGGTACGAAATTAAAATGATACAATGGACAATTTTAGTAAAAAAAAATCTTAATAAATTTTTCTCTACTTCACTAACTTGTACAAAAAAAAAAAAAATAGAGGAAATTTAGATTTCACACTAAAAATGTACTTCATGTCAAATTAGGGCTTATTTTCGTGGATTGGATGGAAGTATTTCAGTTTTTTTTTTTTTAATGTAAAGTGGATGGAATTTTTCAAGTATCACGAGCATATAATAAATGAAAAAATGATATGATCTAGTCTCAATTGTAATTCAGGCAAAATGGATAAAATAAAAAACGAGACTAGATTAACATTGAAGAAATACTTTAAGAACTTAATTGAGATTTATTCAAAAATTGTAAAGGCCCTCGTATGTATCTCCAAAATTTCATAAAGAAGTAACATTGGCTTATTTTAACTTATAAAACATTACTCAGCTTATAAAATCACTGCAAACAAGTGTAGTTTTTTAAGAGAATCTAATGTAAGATTAATTGTGGTCCACATGATAAATGTATCTAGAATGATAAATGATACATGTGTCTAAAATATATAATTGAATATGAATCATATTGTACATTATATTTAAAGTGTATCTAATAAATTAAGATATATGTATATATATAATTATGATACATGTATAGTTAAAGTGTATCTAATTAAATAAGATACACATGATTAATGATAATGCTTGTATAATTAAAGTGTATCTAATCAATTATGATACATATATTTGATTAATTATGATACATGTACAATTCTTGATGGGAGACTTGGATTAAGACTATAAAAGGATGAGTTGATCCTCTTTTTGGCTCTCAATGAAAATTACAAAACAAAAGAAAACTACAGATTTCAATTTCCATCATTAAGTGAGAGATCAAAAGAGAGAAATCATTCTTTGCTTATTATCTATTTCATAGTATTTATCAAGGTTTAAGCATGAATCAAGGTATGTTTTTTTTTAAATTATGTGAAAGTCATGAAGTTCTAAGATTTATGGGTATGATGAATTTATGTCTTTTATTCCTCATATTTGTTGATTTTAGTGTTCGTGATGTTGAAACTTATGTCTTATTGATTTGCCAAATTATATTTGAAACTTTCATGTGGTATCGAGCCACGTTTAGAAACTCATTTTTTCTATTTAAGATTATGGATTTCTTTCTTACTTGTGATTTTAGAATTCAAATTATAAATCTGAATCGATTACTATAACATGTTAGAGTTTTTTCATACTAGAGTATATATGTTATTAAAATTGCTTAAGTATTATATTTGTAGTTTGAAAAATATATATTAAGAATGATTTTTTAGTCACTAAAGTGGCCAAATCTTAATGTGGATAAATTTTAGATTATAAATTATTTTCAATTACCCATAAACCTTAAAGTTTTAAATGACATTAAGTTATATAATTATGTTTGTTTGTGGGTCAATTGAAGTTTGTTCATATAAGACATTTTGGAATCAGCCCAAAGGTTAATTAATTATTCTTATAATTGATAAACATAATTGTTGTGATTGGTATGTTCTATTTGTTTTGCTTTGCATATCCAAAGATAGCAAAATAGAGCTATTTAGTTTACTAATTATCGTTTATGTTCATATAACTTAGTACCCGTGACGCCCCGGCTCCCTTACCTATTACCTAACGAGTGTGACCGGCGCGACACACTCGTTGGGACTAAGTCCCCTACTTCCTTCATCGTACACAACGAAACTAAACCATGGGAAACGCATAATATAATTTACAACATTATTATAGACAATTCCATAATTTAAAACATATTCAAAATGCCTAAAAATTTTCAACCTAAGCCCGTATCCCTTTTTATTGACACAAAAGATATTCCTATTTTTATGAGTGACACATGAGCCTCTTTTAATGAGAACCGATAGCATCCTCGATCGACTTAACTTTGCCCTTGTCCGAACAACACACAAATACAATAACGGAATGAGCCAAAGCTCGGTAAGTAGGGTGATGCACGTGATATGCGATGCTATTGTGTTTCCCATATTTTCATCCATTTTAATCCGGGTACCCTAGGTATATGCAAGTCCGTGCACCCAATCTCTCGATGATCGTGTTATCACCTATCGCTCTATTACTTTCTCTCGGTGATCTCAATATCACCTATCGCTCGCAATAGAATTATCCCTCGTTGTAACACACGGTTAACGGAATTATCCCTCGCTTAACGGTATTAGTAAATAGAGCTCGCACTATGGATTCCTTGCTATTACCCAATCCACTCAATTCGGTTACCAAACTATGTCAATTCAAGACTCAATGATCTTTCTCAATTTATTTCCACCTCCAATGCACATGATGCACGTGATGACATGTTTAATCACATTCAACCAAACTCGGGTACCAGCCCTTCTTTCTCAAGCCATACTCACGATCCAACCATCACTCGGGATTCACTCGACGCTCGCATACCATTCATGGTATTCATAGCGGGAACATAACCTCCGCTCATTAATATTGTTTATTAGTTTCATTAATAATTAAAGAAGGTCCAATTCTTTTTTTTTTTCTCTATGAAAGAATAAATTTTCTTTAAAATTTTAAAATCCTTTTTATTTCTATTTAAGTCCACTTATTTTAGCCTAAGTCCATTTTCATTAGTCTAAGCCCATCTACTTTAAAACCAAGCCTTTTGATTTTAGTCCAAGTCCATTTCCAAGTTTATTTTATTTAAGTCCAAGCCCATTAACATTAATCCAAGCCCAAGTCCATTTGTTTTAATCTAAGTCCATTTTATTTTTAAATCCAAGCCCATCTTATTTTAACTCAAGTCCAAGCCCATTTATTTTAATCCAAGTCCAAGTCCATTTGTTTTAATCTAAGTCCACTTTATTTTTAAATCCAAGCCCATCTCATTTTAACTCAAGTCCAAGCCCATTTATTTTAATCCAAGTCCAAGTCCATTTGTTTTAATCTAAGTCCACTTTATTTTTAAATCCAAGCCCATCTTATTTTAATTCAAGTCCAAGCCCATTAATTTTAATCCAAGTCCAAGTCCATTTGTTTTAATCTAAGTCCACTTTATTTTTAAATCCAAGTCCATCTTATTTTAATTCAAGTCCAAGCCCATTAATATTAGTCCAAGCTCATTTATTTTAATCCAAGCCCAAGTCCATTTATTTTAGGTTAAAAATTTTCAACGAGTGGCACGCCTAAACAACCTATACCAAACCAGCCATAACTCCTTAAATATATATCTAAAACTCACAAAATTTTAAGGGGAGATATTAGACATATAGATCAACAACTTTCATTATTTAAGTTTCCTCCAAAAACATTCTAAAATCCTTAAATAATTCACACAAGTTTCGAAACTAAATAAACTTTTCCAGCAGCTGGTCCATTTAACGACCCGTACTAAAGCAGTCATAAATCCTTACATACAGATCTAAAAATCATGAAAGTGTAGATACATATAGTAGACACATATATGGACAACTTTCCTTCTTTGAGTTTTGCCTAAAAAATACTCTATGATCCCGAAATAAATCGCACAACTTTCGGAATGAAATATTTTTCCAGTAGAGGTTCCATCCGTACGATCCATACCAATTCAGTTATAACTCCATATATATATCTCTAAAAGTCACGATATTTTAAAAGAACATAGTAGACACATATATCAACAACTTTCATTCTTTGCATGTTTTCTAAAAATCACTCTAAGATGCCAAAATAAATCACACTAAGTTCTGGTTTTTCCATCCCTAAAATCCGAAAATCTTCTCTTAAAGCACATTTCTCAACACACATGCTTAACCATCCATCATCAAACATCAAGTGTTTAAAATCATCACAAATACTATAATCACATTTCACATGAATTAAATAACTCATAAAATAAACATGGAAAGCATAAACAAAGCAAGAAAAAAAATAAAACCTACTTACATTGGATTAACTTTCCTAAAATCGCTTTTG